ATATATGTCCATATACATCTTGGGACTAGGTTACTTATACCTTATACACCTAGTAGATCACTGCAGTCTACAGAGTTTCTCCTGCAAGTTCCAAAGATCTAGGAAGCTGTAGTAACTCAGAGCAGAGCTTTCAGTGTGGCTGCCCTTTTTCTGTGGAACAGCTTTCCTATTGAGATACAACAGGTACCCCCTACCTGCACTTTCCAGAAATGATTGAAGACACTTTTTTTCTAGGAAGCCTAGTCTCATTTTAAATGTATTTGTTGTATTTGTGGTCAGGATAACAACAACAACAACAACAACAACAACAACAACAACAATATTGCTTACATTATCTTATGTGAAAATTGCTTTGAGGCAGTGGTTTAGATCAGGGGTCGCCAACTCCCAAGAGTCTGCAATCTACTCACAGAGTTAAAAACTGGCAGTGATCTACCCCCATTTTGGGGGTGCAGGGCAAAGATGTTGAGCTTTTTTAGGGACCAAAGTTGTTGAGCTTCTTTGGAGGGAGCCAGTGATCTATCAGTGATCTACCACAGACGGCCAGTGATTTCTAAATCATATAACACACACACACACACACACACACACACACACACACTCCAAATGTTGTTGGACTACTACTCCCATCAGCACCAGCCAGTGTCCTGGGCCAGGCGTCAGCTTCCCCTGCTGAACAGCAACCTGAAGGGAGAGAAGGCAAAGTGACTCAACCTGCAGCTAGTCAGCCTTCAAGGACAGCACCAATGAGAACCAGCTGGCTTCAGCCATCTTAAATTTGGCTTTTGGCAGCAGTCAGATGCTGGAAACAATCCTGTGGTTCCCGATTCTCCCTTGCTGCTTCCTGATCTCCGTCTGGACCCTTGGTTTTGTAACCACTTAGATTCTGTGAGTCCTGGATTGTCTGACTATGTGGATTGCTGTTTGCTTGGAATGGACAGGACCTTGCATGTGGATTCAGCTTTGTGGCAAGCATTTCTCAGAGACTCTTACCTCCTGTCTGTTTGGCCTCACATTCCACCCAGCTCTGCACTCTGTTGCTCAGCAATGGGACTTGGGACAAGACTACAACAGTCAGCATGGTCAGTGGTGAGAAATGATGCGAATTGGGGTCCAATGAAGTCTGAAGGGCACCACATCGGCTACTCCTGATTATATTCAGTGCTGACTTGAGCTAACAGAAGTACTTTCCCTTCCCCAAGAGGAGGCACCTGATTTATGTTGATCTCTCCTCTGCAATACAGACCCATGCCACCCACTTCTCTTGAAGTTGGAAGAGTCTCTGTAATTCTCTGGAATAGAGCATACAGGGGAGACTGGTGAAACTGGGGATGCTTCTCCTTACGCCAGTGGAAGAATTTCCATGAATGCAAAACCACCATTGGATCCAACCCATAATTTCTAGAACTGCATATCAAAAAATCCCCAATTTTTTAACATGCATAATTCTAAGCTTACGGCATAAGACCCTTTGCTGAATCAGCTCAGGCACTTCTATAGAGTCTTAAGTCTACAAGCCAAAAAATAAATAAAAATGGAATAAAAGCCATTCATTATGGCTCACTGCCAACGAACTGGAATCTTGGCTCCTTATGAACCTCACAGGATTATAATACTAATTGACTCTGTATCTTTTAAAAAAGAAAGCAGTAATTTCCATTCATTTTTAATTGCTATCCAGACTAAGTTTCCATTCAGTTGTTGCTGAGTTTTAGGTTTAAGTAACAAGGAACACTAATTTCTACTTTGGTCTGGAGGCTGGATAGGGCACCTATTTAAATCAGTAGGTTGAATGCCAAGGTGTCTCTGATTCCCTGGCTAATTACTGATGTTCAATTAACGTGTGCATACAATACAGCAGAATCTTCTTCCAAGCCTTGGGGACCTTTGGTTCACTAATTAGCAAAATAATAGAAACTGGAAAAGCCCCCTTTGACCCCTTAATCAGTGGAGATACCTTTGGGGGCAGTGGACTGTGAAGATGTTCATGAATGGAGATTTGAAAGACCTTTCAGGCTTATATCTGAGGATTTCCAGTACTCTGAGGTTTACTGTACATAAATATGGCATACTATACTCCACTCTGCTCAGTTGCTGGGATGGCCTGTAACATGAATGAGGAAGCTGTGGCCCTCCAGATATGGTTTGGCTCCAACTTCCATCAACCTCAGTCATTCCTGATCATCCATGAGAATGAAAAACCAAGGGAGGAGAGTCACCCTTTAAGAAACGCTCACCTGTGTCACTGGCAACACTGACCTCTAGTTGGGAATTCCAGTCCACCCTTTGCTGCAGACATGGGATTGTTGCATGTCACATGTCTGTTTACATTCCAGCACAGATTGCTGGCATGAGCAGAACTTCCGCTCTGTATTGCTTTTCTTTCTAGTCTCTCTCCAAGAAGACGGCAAGGAGAGATGCCATGTTTTCTTTGTCCTGATTTATGTATAATAAATGTGTAGCCTTAGTGTTGTATCTACAGCCTCAAGCCTCTTCTGTTGTGCAGTTTACACTGCTGAGTAGTGCGTGCTCAAGCCTGCAAGCTTGAGTCACTGATAAACATCGGAGGAACAGAGGTCGATGGATCTCCAAAGCAGCAAAGCTGAGGTAGGGAGATGCTCCAGCTAGGGCAGAGCCAGCTGGCTTTTTGACCCCCGATTCCGACACCTCTTAGGCAAGGCTTAAGTCCAGTGTGACCTCCTTTTACTTGTGTTTGTGTAGGGGACAAACCCACTTCAATGGCAAGCTGGAAATTCATCCTATATGTAAATGCAATTGACAGAGTGCGTGTTGCTTGTCTTAGTGAATACCCCCATCAACAACCAGTGATCTCAAGTGTATGAGGTATCTCATCCCATCCCATTGATACTGCATCCCCAACGAGATATCTAGATCACAAAGCAAGTTTGGACATATGGAAGTACAGATGGCCTCTTCTAAGAATGGCTCAGGGAATAGACTATCACCACTGAGCAATTTCCAAATATGGTCAGCATTTTATTGATTGATTGATTGATTGAGACACAAAAATAGGCTTGCAGCATGCTGAGTTTTTCTCAGTCGGTCTGAATGTGAGACTATGCAGTGCCACATACAGTTCAATCATTGGCACGTCTCCTTACAAATAAAGCCAACTGAGTTTACTGAAACTTCATGGGGAAGCATGTATAGGACATGTAACCAGAGTAAGATAACAGCCTTGACATCACCATGTCCTCCTTGCTTATTAGCTGGTTTTGCCAGCCAGACGAAGTGAGCAAAGCAGAATAATCCATATACACGGATGGTGTTTTACTACAGTCCTAGGGTTAGATCCAGGCGTTAATGGCCTGGGGAATTTCCTATTTATAGTATAGTGCTTTAAGGAAAGCAATGGATGAATCCATCAGTTTTAGTTTCTCACAGTTTCAGGTGGTTCCAGTCTTAAGCTCAGTTGGCCACATTTCAATTTGCAAGGGTTAACCCTACGCACCCACCCAAAATGAAGCAGCATTTTTACTGCATACATGTGGGCTTGTTCCCATCAGAAAAGAGGTGGGGATACCTTCATCCAACACACACAACCCTGTTTGTTTCCTCACCTCTGCAAGCTCCCTGGCATAGGAGCCAACTCTCGGGAGGCAAGGTCCCTTTGCCCCCCCCCCATAAAATAGTTGAGGGGGCTGCCCCTCCCACAAGTTGAGGGACATTGCAGTTCAAATGGTGTGTGTGTGCACCACATCTTGTAATTGACTGTGTAGGGTGGGACTTACCTGCCCCCCGTGGTTTATTCAATTTGGCACCCCTGCTCCCTCGAATTCCTACTCATGAAGCTGCGCTCTGTACATGCATGATGGCTGTTAAGGTACAGTGGTGCCCCGCAAGACAAATGCCTTGCAAGACGAAAAACCCGCTAGACGAAAGGGTTTTCCGTTTTTCGATGCGCTTCGCAAGACGAATTTCCCTATGGGCTTGCTTCGCAAGACGAAATGTCTTGCGATTTCTTGCGATTTTTTCCGCTTCCCCCCCTTTTTCTAAGCCGCTAAGCCGCTAATAGCCTTTTAGCCGCTAAGCCGCTAAGCCTTTAATAGCCGCTAAACCACTAATAGCGCTAATCCGCTAAGCCTCTAATAGGGTTGCTTCGCAAGACGAAAAAACCGCTAGACGAAGAGACTCGCGGAACGGATTATTTTCGTCTTGCGAGGCACCACTGTATATGTTTACATTACTGCTTAATATGCATCCACTTTCCAAGTTGGACTGAAGTTGGTGGGAATGCATCAAATAGTGGTATTTGTCGGTATTTCTATGCCCCCTGATGGGGCTTCATTTCATATACTTCTGATTCAGATCTACTAAACACTTTGTCTCCCTCATGTTGCAAACAATGGTTGTCTTGTAAAACTTGATATAATGAATGCTTTGCAATTAAATGCGAGAAATTGTTCTGGTCTCTGTTTCTTTGGACGTTATCTTTGATGTGTTTTCTGTTTTCTTCATAATAAATTTGAAAATGCAAAAGAAAAAAGAAGCAGCAGTATTTATTAAGACACTATAGGATCAACGTGGATTGTGGCTAACGTTGTGTGAATATTAGTAGGAACACATTGGATGTGGAGTAAGCAGCAATATGAACATATTTTGAATTCTGCGTTTCTCCTCTTCTTTTGTGTGGTAAGCCAGACTGTAATTATTATTGAATGGCAGGAACAAATTAACGCAGGAGACTGAAGCAAAGTGTTCTGGCATAATTATGTTTTCATATTTTCACACCTTTCAAGGTGTTTATAAAAGGACACCATTCTATCTTAAGGCTGATGGAAAACAAGCGACAAAGCAACAGCGGAGCTTTATATATACTTTTCACAGATGACATGTTTAAAATCAAAATGTCAATAATATGCTGTGGCAACTGATGCGACAGAATTTCTTTCCTGATTAAGCAGAAATAACCGTGCCAAAGTCACCTTCAATATTCCTCCTTTCCTATGATCCAATTTTGCTGTGGTCCTGTTTGTAAAGGACTGTGGCTCAGTGGGAGAGCATCCGTCTTGCATGCATAAGGTCTCAGGTTTGATCCCCAGCATCTCCAGGTAGGTCTGGGAATGTATACCTGCTTGAAACCCTAGAGCATTGTTTCCCAAACCTGGGTCTCCAGCTGTTTTTGGACTCCCATCATCCCTGAACATTGGTCTTGCTAGCTAGGGCTGATGGGAGTTGCAGTTCAAAATCAGCTGAAGACCCAGGTTTGGGAGAGAATGCCCTAGAGAGCTGCTACCAGTCAGTGTAAATAGTACTGAATGACATGGACTAATGGTCTAAAGCAGTTTATTATGATTAGCAAAGATGGCTAATTGCTAGTCCAACATGGCAATGACTTCCCAATATACTGGGATCCTTTGGGAAGAAGGGTGAGGTGTCAATTTAATAAGAAACAAACAAATATTTGGCAGCAGTGTTTAAGCTGGGTGGCATTCATGGTATAAAAGAGTGGTATATATATATATATATATATATATATATATATATATATATACACACATATATATATATATATACATATATATATATATACATATATACATATATATATATATATATATATATATATTTCACTTACAAAGAGAGAGAGAGCGCGCTTTGGTTTTAATGTGGAAATTAAAATTTTAAACTGCTGAATGCCTAGTTGCAAGTTTCAACAATATCAATAAAAATTACTTTATCCAGTTTATGGTTTGTTTGGGGTTTTTATCATGGTGATCAGCTATCAAAAAGCAGTATTCATTGCTATGTATTGCATTGACATAAAACCGTGTTAAATATTTACAGAGGTGGAGTTTTTAAAACAGCAAAAATGAGGACTTGCAGCGAATATAGCGCAAATAATTGGCTTGGGAAGGTGGGAGCTGTGTAGGCGGGTCATCAACCTTTTGATTTTGCTCAGTATGGGATTAAATTTTTAAAACCACATAATTAATAAAGCTACCATTCTTTTACATTTATTATTCAAAAATCTTCTGGGTTTTAATAGTACCCTTATGTACCGTGCCTAACATATAAGTCATTTAAGAGCTTTACTGTTCAGTGCAGATACCATCAAATGTATGCCATAATATCTATAGAGGATAAGCATCTCTGGGCTAACCTCAGGCCTCTGTGACATTAATGCCCTGTTTCAAACAGTTGCTGTGCTAGCAAATAGGAGTTTAGTTTGGGAGTGGGGTGCACCCAATGTTGCATTAGCACAACGTTCGTAAGCCTGACATCACAAAGACACTGCAGGGATATCGTTATTATTAACACATCAAATGACAAGCCTGTCTATCATGCTAATCAGTTCAGTCTAATGGTCCCGATTTAGCTGTAGTCAGGAAAAAACTGGAGACCCTTAGCTGCATAGAAAGCTGCATCTAGCTAGTTTGAAAGGGCTTGGCTAAGCATTGCAATTTAGTTAGGCATATACACCCAGAACCAAATCTTCATACCTACTCCCCTATGAAGAAAGGTTGGAGTGTTTGGGACTTGTTGGTTTGTGCAGCACATAGTTAAACTATGGAATTTGCTACCTCAGTGATGGGCACCAACCTAGTCCCTTTGTGGCTTAGGGCCCTCGTATTTACAGGACCGCCTCTCCTGGTATGCTCCGCAGAGGACCTTAAGGTCCATGAATAATCATAGTTTAGAGGTCCCAGGCCCTAAGGAAGTGAGATTATCCTGCAACAGGGCCAGGGCCTTCTTAGTGATGGCTCCGACCTGGTGGAATGCTCTGTCCCATGAGACCAGGGCCTGGCAGGATTTAACTTCCTTCCGCAGGGCCTGTAAGACAGAGCTATTCTGCCTGGCCTTCAATTTGAACATAGCCTGATCTTTTATTCCCTTCCTTCCACCCCCCTCCCCTTTTTATGAAGATTACCTGCTCTGGGATCCCACAGCTTATTCTCCCCTGGTCTCCTCAGTGGCCCAAATAGGACTAATTTAGCCAGCTAGCCCTGGTGATCATCTAATGTTTATTGGATGGATTTCCCCCCTTAAATTGATTTTTGAATTCTGAATTTATTGTTATTCACATTTTATACTGTATTTTATGCTGTTTTTTGTTGCATCAATTAAGTATTTTAAATTTGTTGTTAGCCTCCCTGAGCCCTGTTTTCTGAACCGGGAAGGGCGGGGTACAAATAAAAAAATATTAGTAGTAGTAGTAGTAGTAGTAGTAGTAGTTGTAGTAGTAGTCTAAATACCTGACCAATGTTCATGCTGGCTGGAGCTGATGAGTTGAGGGTCCCTGTGTGCCTCTGCTCCATACATTCTTCCATTGGACCTTTTGCCCATTCAGTGACCTGTTCTGGCCCTCTGTCTCTTGTGCTGTCCATCTGGCATGTCCCTGGAACGCTCTGCTCACGCCATTACACAGAATGGAATGTTATTTTTTTACTCTCATGCTTTCAGCATGGAAGCGCAGGACTGTCAGCCTAAAACGGTCCTTTGAGATGAGTTAAATGGTGATTGCATTGCACTTTTGAAAAAAAGGGGGGGTGGCAGTGGAAATGACTGGCACCGCAATAACGGCACCACGGTGAAGTATTGTCCTCGCCGGAGCAAATGTTGTTTTCCTCCCTCCTGCCTTTCAGACAAGTGTGAGGGTGACAGTCTCGTTCAGCTGTTTGACTAGACCCTGACCAATGTTGTTATATGCTGAGAAATGTACACCACTCCAGAGTGAAAATTCTTCATGCTTTCCAGATCAATTTGATGGATGGAGGCAAACTGATAGCCTTTGCTGTCTACCGGTTGCTGTTCATGTGTCAGTGAACATTTGAATATTGTTCCCAAAAGAAAATTGTTTCTTAAAAAAAATTGGGGAAAGCAGCGCAGAATTGTGGCTTGCTCCCAACTAAAATGTGGAACTGGGGATTGGACTTCCCTCCTTTGCCGCATCCTATCCATATTTAGTTCGTGTAATACACTGTTTTGTATTATCATTATCATCTCAGATATGATGGTGTCTTGCATGAGTGCAAAAGGCACTTCCTTTTATATGCTTTCACAAAGCAGCTATTCCTCCTCAGTGTAACCCCACACCATTCCACAGGGTTAGGGGAACTTTTTTGGAGGGAGGGTACAGGGTCTGAGAGAGGCAATATGACAAAGAGGGAGGCAGAGGCGTTCTACTCATGTGTAAACATGCAAGCAGGGGGAACAAGAGCACTGAGCTCCTCTTATCATCATCCCTCCCTTCCTCATCAATAGGTCTTAAGTGACGAGCATCCTCTGGTCATCAAGACTTCACCCACCCCGATTTGGAGGCTGATTGGACATAGGGGGCAGAATTTGGCCGAAATATGAGAAGCCACTGTGGCGATCACACAGGTTCCCCGGACGTTTCACCATCTATTGATCTCTGTGCCACCACCTAGGCCCTACCTAGTACAATACTGAGTCCAGTCAGGGTTAAATTGGAACATAAACTTTTGTTTATGAAACCACACGCTTGTTAAACTGCAATAAATAAATGGTATCGGTCAATTACAATCATGGGGTGTCTATCCAGACCTATAACTTCCGCTACCTGCTCTCACTCACTAAACTGCCTCTCAGATATTTACTTGTCTTCCTAGCCCTTAACTATTCCTGACTCAGCTTATTTTGCTACACTATCTCAACCTACCCACAAACTCTATCCCAATTCACTCCCACTCCAACCAACCACCCAACTGCCACTGAACTCCTCCCTTTGCCCCTCCCAGAACTGGTTTTATAGTCCCTCTGACTCCACCCTGCTGGGTCCTGATTGGGTAACCTGATTAACTATTTCACCTCCAGCGCTCTCATATGTTGTCACAGCCACATTAGTTCTGACATTTCACTGCTCTCCCAACCTGATTTAATTACTGTGTTGTTTTAATGGGATTTCCTTTATTGCATATTTTATTATGGATGTTTACATTTTGGGGAAGTATTGGTGTGTAGTCAGCTTGCACCAGACACTGATGTGTCTGCATGAGAAAGAGTAGATGAAGAGTGGAGCCTCCAAGTTTCTCAAAATCTCTTTTTCTCAACTAACCTGTGTTGACCTTCATCCTTGCCATGGGGGAAGGAGACACCTTTTGTACCTCTCTTCCCCAGATACAAGAGCAAGCATGGCTGAAGGCATCGCCACCTTACTTAGGTAGATCTAGGATCTTTGCCATCGAGCATATATTTCCTGTAATAAACATAGCTTTCTTGTTTTCCTAAATTCAGTATGATTTTACCCTATGTAAAGTGAGCACCTCTAAGAAGGATACTGTGTTAAGTTCAGCTTCTGTCAAGCAATTTAACTTCATACGTCAATGACATTTTAATGAGATCATCTTATTGTATTTTTAAAGATGGCATTCATTTTAATATTTGTGTAAGTGATTTTTTGCAAACTGTTTATAACCCTATTTTGGCATTAAGTGAATTAATAATAATAATAATAATAATAATAATAATAATAATAATACACTCATCCCTTCTCTCCCTATTCACATTTAGGTTATAAGCACCAGCAGGACACCCACATATGACTATAAGGAGTCTCTCATCATTTCACTCCAGAGCTAAATACAATTTCATTTTTCATTTCTTGGGAGCAATAAAAGAGATGTCTGCACCTCTTCCATCGTATTTCCAAAGGGGGAACAGCAGCATCCCATTATTTCGATTTCTCTTCTTCAGATTGCAGTGCGGCAGCACCTATTTACAATAAACAAGAGCCACTTCTATCACTGGTATTGTTTTTCCTTTCCCATCTGAACCTGGGTCAGCAAGAGTCCAAAGGTTCCTGAACAAATCTATCCTCCTTACCAGGCTCAGTCAACAATTGCTTTGCTGTAATGAGGAAAGAGTGGCTAAGGATATTCATCTGTTTCCATGATTACTGATCTCTCCAAGTAAGCTAACAATAATAGCACCCTTTGGAGCATAATAGCATAGATCAGAATATACTCAAGGCGTCGTTCTCTTATATTGTTTCTGTAATTGAAGTATTGAGCTGGAAGCTTCAGTAAGCACACCATTGTAAAAGTATTTAGAACAAATGTTCTGGGGAACAGTTATTGCACATTCAAA